TTTTCGAGTCATAGACACTGGGTTCATTGAGCAAAGAATGTTCAAAGATGTTCTTAAGGACGTAACGGTGTCTCAGACACGCGAGCCTCGTATGAGGCGACAGTTCAATGTGAATTTTGGGTGTTCACAATTTTAATGGGGGAGAGTGTAACGGTTTTAGACGTACTTCTGTAGAAAGGGCGGGTAACACAAGATGAAGCGACCGTATATAGCTGTGGATTACACAAGTAAGTGTAATCACACAATTGTGTGGCTACACCGTAACAAGAAGACTAAGTAGCAGGTTGCCAGTAGTAACGCATATTAGCTTGGCTTTACTATATTGATTAGGAAGACCTAAGGTTTGAGATGTTGGCGGCTCTGCCTGAATTGTACAATATAGTACAGTTTCCATTTTGTACGGAAGGGTCTATTTGGTTGAGGCTTTAAGTACTCTTGGATGTAGCGAGTTGCGATCCGCTGCACTCGTCCTGGTTCTTGTGAAGAACGTAAGGTCAGTGACCTTAGCTTGCATCCTCTAAGCAAAGAGCAACGGCAGTCCGATGCACAAGACGTGGGTGTCGAATGGAGACTTGCTCTCTTGCACCATTTCTGCGTAGTGTTTCGCTCGGAACAAGGCGTCAATGACGTCACACAACTCCTTGTCCAGGGGTCATTGGCGTGTCACGCAGTACTTGGTGCCCGGAACCAGGTCGATTTCACGACGCACACCTCGGTCCGAACGTAGGACCGATGGCGGGTCTTGAAGACGACGCCTTGGAACTCCTCTACCAAAGGATACTACGGGTCCGAGATACTCTTCATGATAGATGATCCACTTCGTGCGCTCAGCACCCTCTTGCGGTTCTCCAGTACAGCTTCCTCCAGGAGCGACGACGAGTTCATCTTCTCGTTCGGTCGTATAATGACCACCTCGGCTAAATTGCCTGCCTCTAAGGCACCGCCAAACACCTCGAAAGACATCTCGACCAGCTCAAGAAGAGTATCTACCGCGAAAATAGCCTCAATGGTGACGTCACCGTCTTCTTCTCCCGTCATAGCATTGACAAGGGTGTACAGCTGTGTGCAATCGTCGACGGTAGACACACCGTGGATCGGGGTCGACGCCTTGTGTTTTGCAGATATCATACGGCTTCGCCATCTCCTCTCTATAGAAGTTTACGTATCATCGAGACCAGTTGGAACACGCACTCTGCGTCGTCCAGTGTCCCCACTCCCTGCTCCAACGGTGCCTTGCTGGTATTTACAACATCCGACAAAGGACTGCTATTTTTGCAGTCTTCGTCTAGTGAATAACGTGCCACTTAACGCGCATCAGAAAGGCCTTGCCCAGTATGCCTCGGACCTTGTCCGACCATGCCACTCTGGTATGCAGCAATTGCTTCGAAACGTGAGTAGTGCTTAGTGTTATGTGCCACTCCACGGGCATCACAAGGGCCTCGGTCTCAATGCCTCGGACCTTGTCCGACCATGCCACTCTTGGTAAGCAACAATTGATTTGATACTAGAACAAGGCCAGTGGGTTACGTGCCACTATACGTTCAGCCCGCGAGCCATGCTCGGGACTCTTGTCTGGTACACCTTAGGTTTTCGACAACACGGATAAAATGATATCCAGCACATTGACCGTCCCGGCCCAGTGTTCGCACCAATAGCGATTTTGCTTCCTGGCAGAGGTGGGTTCATGACTCACCAAAGCTCCACCAGGATACGTGCGCGTAGCGCCCAAGGTCTTCGACCTCCGATCAATCCATGGCTCATGGTGTTCCAACCATGCCATACCAAGAATAAGGTCATACCTTGAATCCAAATCTCAGGCTAAGCAGCGTCTCACGCTATCAAAGTCAAGAAACTTGACAGCGAGCTCCACAGGGACCCTCGGCAAAATGACACGAGTCCCCGTCGCTAAGCGAACAGTGACGGTGTCACTCAACCGCGCGCTCAGCAGGTTAGCATACAGCTGACTTCTGTCGATTGTGGAGCGTCGAGCATAATTTCCCGACGCCCCAAAATCGATCAGGGTCTTCCATGGCTTCTTAAAGCCCTTCGCAGTCGCTTCTGCGACCAGCAAGTCCGGTTCGCATATACGTTCCGTATTCAAGATCCAGGGCTGGGTCTTCTCTTCTCAGCTGAGCTGCTTCGAAGCAAGGAGCTACCCCTGCTGCCCTCTACCTTTTTGAGGCTCGCCAGAACTCAATTCTTCATCTAGTTGGGCTCCCCGCACCTACTGACCGGCTGGAAACGGGACGTCGGTTCGACGAACCTTTACGCGCGGACGACCAGTCCGAATGTGACGGGTGTCTCCACCGTCGGGTATTGACACGCTGCTCAGCAGCTTGGATCTCTCCCTCGTCATTTTCTTCATAGCTGAGATTCGTTGGCTCAGGCCCGCTCGACGAGCTTTGATGCTGTACAATCCATCCAAGTCGTGCCGACTAAAAGTTGAATTCGGCATTTAATGCCACATTCACTGCTTCTTCAAAATATGGCGGATGCACACGGAAAACAACAATTCTGGTCACGCCAGTGCTGAGGCCCTCCATAAAGACAGTCACTGTGACCTTTTTGGAGAGAGGATCGGCCGCCCACCCGGCGATAGTAGTTCACAACTTTGGAACAAAGTCCACCAATTCTTTCTTGCCCTGTCGGGTGCATGGAAACACGATCACACGCGATATGCGTGCTTAGGCGGTGAGAACACTCGCAAAATCTGAGTCCTCAGCTCCTTCCAGGAGGAGCGCAGCTTCAGCAGAAGTACCGCACGTTAGTGTCCATTTTCGCGCTCGCCCCCCAGCTTAGAGATTGCTAGCGCCACGCGCTGTCGCTCGTTCTGGAGCACGGCGGATGCCATAGCCATCTCGGCCCCCCTCACCCAGAGCAGGAATTTCTCTCCATCCTTACCCTCAAAGGTCTGAACGCTCATCATGAGCCGCCTGGGTCGGGAGGAGTCATCCGTTGCCGACGGTGGTGTCATAGATGCAGTCGACGCCGACATTTTCTGCTCAACGTGCATTTTCATAGCTCAAAAACGCTTCTAAGCGCGCGCCTATCGCTTCAGATCATTGCGGAGCAAGGTATTCCACGCCCTCAGGGCAAAGCAGAGACATCAGCTTATAAAGCCTGTCCTGCATGCCCTGGGGGAATAGGAGAATTGCTCCATCCTTAGAGAGGATCAGTCGTTACAAACCAGACGTACATTGACTACAAGTGCTACCAAGTGCAGCGGGGCTACTGTATCTCTCTGCTAAGAGGAAGCTTCCTAAGATCACCGATCCTATGCTTTGTATCAGAACCAGTACGAGTGTATCGTACTGGTTCGCAATACGCTACCCAAGAAACTTAAACGTGGCAAATAAACTCTCCCGTTCAAATTCTACACTGTATTATTGCGGCAGAGTCGCCTATATCTAAAATCTTAGGTCTTCCTAGTTAAATAGAAAACCTAATCAGTATGCATAACTACTAGCAGTCCCGCCACGAAGTGGCTTCTGTAGCCACACCATCATGTGATTACACCGACTTGTGTAATTCACACCTTTGTACGGTCACAACATCTTGTGTGACCCTCCCTTATATAACAGGGTACGTGTAACTCCGTTACAGTTTGAGCGATAGGCAGAAGTTAAGCGCGGGTCCAGCGTAAGGGCCCATGGGCAACTTCTGGTCTGATTAGATTCATAATCACGACATGATGGTGTCAGCAAATTTTGTCGCAACTTTCGTACTAACAGACAGCGAAGATTGGCTTGCGATGCCAGGTCATTAGTAATGGCTAGGCGTCGTCGTTGATTTCGCAGAGTGTCGTAACAGATAAGAAATTTGCAGCTCGTGTAGCGGTGAGAGAAACTTTGGCAAAGTCGATCCCCGTCTTTGCCAAAGTTTGGGTCGGGACTTGAAGAATCGCTGTATCTATGCTCACTGGAGAATCACTTGGCTGCCTCGCTGGGTTTATCAAAACGTATCCGCTGCGAATGCCACGGTTTATTAGTAGCCCATCGAGTCATGTAGCTTTCCGCCAAATTTAAAGCGAGCTCATATTGCTTCTGTCAAGTGGTTAAAATTATTCAGATTAATCTTAAATTCAAAAAATTGAGATAGTCAGTCAGCCTTCCCGTGTTGGATCAAGTGCTTCCGAGTGTAGTCGGTCGCTGCATTTTGCCCGAAGAAGTCTAGGGGTATAGAATTTCTCAGCGAACTGGCCTATTACAAAAAAATGATCGATGTAAGACTGAATATATTTTGGTAATAACTCCAAGAATTTGTATTTTATTCTCTCCATCTTTTACATGTCAGTACGATGTATTGCTTTAAAACAAAGATATCATACACTGCTTATTCTTCAAAGGTGGTGGCATCAAGAATGCGCCGTCCGGGAATCGACCCGGGGCATCTCGTTGGCAACCGAGATATTTTACCACTAAACCAACGGCGCTTGTAATTGAAACCAGACTTTCTTATGCTACACAATCTTGCATTGCTTAGAAATAAAGCTGACGTCAAC